TAATTGCTTATATAAAATATATTTTAATAATGTTTTTTATTAGAATATATATATAAACATATATATATATACATATATAATATATATATTGGAATATATATATATATAGAATAGATGGAGAATGTCTACGTTTAGATTAAAATAAATATTAAATATATCTTTTACTTTAAACTTTTAAAATGTAGATAATAAAAATATAAAAAAATAATTCTTATACACTTTTACTTTACTTTTACTTTCATATATATATATCCTTAAGCGGATAGATATATATAATTTCTAGCACAATTATTCCTAAATATTTTTGACCTATTCAATTCATCTTAAATTTTTTCCAAACCTTATCGATGTAAAGCCAATAGAGTACGCTGTTGCTGGTTTATTTTAGCAATAACACCCGAAATTAATTTTTATCTTACAAAAATTATCTTATAAAATCTACATATCTGATAGAATACAGCACTAAATAAAGAATTCAAAGAAAGCAAAGAATTCAAAGAATTGACATCGCCTGTTGCAGTACGGACAACGTCAGGTGCAGACATCAGAGATACATAAAATGCATACAAAAACTTCTCGGCATATTTTGGAACTCTCAGTCCAAGAACAGAAAGATTTCATAAATTCCTTTGATTTCGTTTTAAGTGACTGCGATGGTGTAGTGTGGCTAATATTGAGCCCCTTGCCCAATACTGGGAGAACTATAAATCTTTTAAAATCCGAGGGGAAAAAATGCATTTTCGTTACAAATAATTCTTTCAATAACGACGAACAATTTTTGGAAAAATTTGCGTCAGTCGGCACTAATTTAGTAAAAAGTGTAAATCATTTAAATATGGTTGTTTGAATTAATTTTAATTTAATTATTGATCTATAAATTAAGGAAGACGTCATAAATCCCAATAAGGCTATCGCAATGTACTTGAAGAAATATAAACCAGGGGAACGCGTGTTTTCGGTAAACAATCACGTGGCGAATGAGGTCTTTCGAAATAATGGTATCGATATTGAAACATTGGTAAATATATTTATAAAAAAATTAATTTAAAAAAAATATATATCATTAAATAAAAAATAATATAATTTACATATATTATTAATATACAAGAAATGTAAAAAACAAATATAATAAAATAATATGAAAATATATAAATATAATAAAGTAATGTATAAATAGACACACAAATAATAAATAAAAAACTATACATAAAATGATATATAAAAAAAAATATATTAACATGTTATGTTATATATTAAATCAAAATATATATTAATAATTTGTATACAAAATAATATATATAATAATAATATTAATATAAATATATATAATATAATATTATATTATATTATATTATATTATATTATATTATATTATATTATATATTATATATAATATATATAATAATAATATTAATATAAAAAATATATAAAAATAAGTATAATAACAATATATGTATGAAGAATATATAAAAGAACTGATATATATAATTATCATATAAAAAAATAATTTATAAAAGATAATATACGAAAAATGATATAGATAAATTAATATTACATACAAAAATAATATTTAATAGAATAATATAATATTTAAAAAAATATTAATATAATATATTTTATATAAAATATGTAAATACACAGAGTCTACTATATAACATATGTAAGCACGTTTAATTACATTGTTTTCTAGGTGTGATGTCTCTAGACTAAAAAGTACCACTATACCATATTCATATTCGAAGTGCCATTGTCTTGTATTGTGCATTTGAAGTATATAAAATATTGCGATCTGGAGATCTACAATAGCGATTTCTGCAAAAAATGAACTCAAGTGTCATGCCTGTTAGATTTAGCTTTGCTAATTCTTTGCCTGGTATTAAATGTTTTTCTAAGAAATATTGACTTTTGTCTATATATGTATCGCCGTTTTCTGACATGTGCTTTGGTGACTCCAGTTCTGCAGAATCTGCAAATGGGGTTCGATGCAATACCCATACTGCTTAGGTGTCCATTTTCGAAGGGCTATTTGACAATACCTGTCATACTGCAGTATTATTGATTAGGATGTCTGTTAGCATTTTGAGTAAGAGTTGTCTGAAGTGGTGACATCGTTCATGAGTTGAAATACCGATTTGGAAGTGGTTCGTCGGTATTATATAGTACTATGTCCTTGCGGTTAAGAAATCACTGAATTTCGTTAATATTGATTTGCATTTCATCATATTTTTAAAAAACAATTTTCTTAAAGTGGCTGTTGTCTGCTTTCAGAAGACAGTGTTTACACTTCGGAAACATAAAATGGTGCCCTTTAGGTGTAGGAACCACTGAAGTTTATATTCGCTAGATTCTCTAGGTAGAAATGCGTTCTACCTAGATCATCTATTTGAAAAGTTAGACGATATAAAAAATTATTTCCTTTTTTAGAGTGCGAGAGTACATATTATGAGGGATTCTTAGTCTACTCTCCAATATGCTAAAGATCAGTAATGACGTCGGTCCGTCAAAAAACATTATTTCTATGAATTTTATTTAATAAAAGAATAAATATATAAATCAAACATGTAAATAACATATAAAAAATAAAAATTTAATTAAATATATATGAAACTGAACATTATTTACTGTAAGAAAACAGTATAAAAAAAGATATATATTAAATATATATAAAATCTTTATTAAATTAAAAATATTTGATTTATTATATTTTTTTATTTAATATAATAATTTAAAATAATTTTTTTATTAAATACATAAAAAATCATTATATACTTAATTTAATATAAAATTAGATATATATATAAATTCTATATTTTTTTTTTGGATTTTAATACAATGTAAAACAATATAAAAAAAATAAATACAAAATATAATTCCTTAATCTCAATTTAAATAATTTGAAGGACATAACAGATAATCTAGACCCTGCATCACTAGCTCGCCTCATAAGACCCGATCACCAAGTAGGAGCTGTTGTGATTGATATAAACTTCAATCTTAATTATGCTGAGCTTGCCAAAGCTTATCAGTATTTATTAGACAAGGATTGCGAACTCATAATGGGTGGATCTGATACACATATGCCAATGTCAGCCGATATGGTTACTCTGGGTAAGTCCAATCAATTTAGTTTCTATAGCGATTAATTTAATATAACTATTATTTGAAGGGTTCGTGGATTTCGCCAAATATCTTAGTAAATATTCACATAAGCAACCAATTGCGTTGGGTAAACCGTCACCACGTTTTGGTGATATTATCAAAGAAATGTATAACATTACTACGCCAAAACGTTGCCTTTTCATTGGTGATTCTTTGAGTAGTGATATAGCATTTGGTACGGTCTGTGGGTTTCAAACCCTACTTGTATTGACTGGCACAAGCACGAAAGAAGAGATGCTGGTTGCTGAAGAGAATCTACGCCCAGATTATTATGCTGATAGTTTAGCGGATTTTATAGAATTATTTCAAAATATAAAATTGACGAATAATAATATTAAATAAATAATCAAATATAATTAATATTATATAGTAAAAAGAAATTCAAGCGTTTAATATTATTTTATTACTTTTGGAAATATAGTTCTCAAAAATATTGTTTTTCGAGAGCATACCGGTTACCGGTCATGTTACAACTATACCACTTCAACAACGTAAAATTTAATTTTGAGTGGTACACAACCATTGACAGCCCTCATATATGGTAAAGAATAAGTTTGTTAAAATTGTGTTTAAGATAAATAAATCTTATACATTTGTTATATCAGAAGAATTTATAGAAACTAATTTTAGTTGATATTAACTTAAGAGAACACACTACATTGCAAGACGGTGTATACATACATATATATCCTGACAATCTTAATGAGGACATAAATCTTAAAATTAAAGATAATAATCATAATCCATTCTTCTTTCACGTGTCTTGGTGTAATAATGACTTTTAGTTCATTTCTAGTCCAATTATGCGCTAAACAAATATAATAAACAAAATTTTAGCTCTTATCTCTAAGAGAAATTACTACTTGTTTATATGAAATTAAGACGATCCGTAAGAGTGGCGCTACAATCTGTCTTTACTCATTCATATATACTCGTATATATACATGTGTATAATGTAGATGAAAGACCCGTCTTCAACAATAAATTGGCTAAATAGTATTGAGTTTTAAATATTTGCTGATATTCGATATTACGAAGAACTACTTAAATCGGTCGTAAGTAATTGTTTATTTTACTAAAAGATTCTCTCTGTATAAGGAGAGGTACTTTTCTGGCACTTTTCTCCAGCACTTTTCTGGCAATAATTAATTTTAGAAATATATTCAACTTATATATTCAATCTTATATATATAATTTCTAGCACAATTATTCCTAAATATTTTTGACCTATTCAATTCATCTTAAATTTTGTCCAAACCTTTTCGATGTAAAGCCAATAGAGTACGATATTACTGGTCTTTTTTTTTTTGAATTAACACCCGAAATTAATTGTTATCTTACAAAAACTATTTTAGCTTATAAAGACTACATATCTGATAGAATATATAGGACGAAATAATTTTGCAAAATAAAATACAAAGAATTGGTTTCGCATATCGCAGTACGGACAAGTTCATTATCAAGTGCAGACGTCAGAGATAAATAAAATGCGTGCGAAAATTTCTCGACATATTTTGGAACTCTCAGTCCAAGAACAGCAAGATTTCGTTAATTCCTTTGATTTCAGTTTAAGTGACTGCGATGGTGTATTGTGGCTAGCACTGAGTCCTTTGCCCAATGCTGGGAGAACTATAAATCTTTTAAAATCCGAGGGGAAAAAATGTATTTTCGTAACAAATAATTGCTATAAGAACGATGAGCAATTTTTGGAAAAATTTAAATTAGCTGGGATCGATTCAGTAAAAAGTGTAAATCATTTAAATATGGTTGTTTGAATTAATTTTAATTTAATTATTGATCTACTAAATAAGGAAGACGTGATAAACCCCAATAAAGCCATCGCAATGTACTTGGAGACATACAAACCAGGGGAACGCGTGTTTTCGGTAAACAATCACGTGGCGAATGAGGTCTTTCGGAATAGCGGCATTGATATAGAAACACTGGTAAATATATTTATAAAAAAATTAATTTAAAAAATATATTATA